TGTAGTGAAGAAGCTGGAAGCTATGTCACTTGTATTCTAAATACCAGCAGGGAAATCTATGATGGACAGGTTTCAGCAGAGTGGTCAGACTAGGAACCAGCACAAGGCCATCCACTTCTGAAATAGCAGACTTTCAAAAGATTGTTGACAGTGTAGGAGCACTGTTGCATATGGTGCCAGAAGATGGGCCATCCATGCTGTAAGGCACTCATATTGCAACCTGGGAAAGGCTGCCTTCTCAAACTAAAGTCTGTCATAATGATGCAGATAACACAAATCCTTCACCCTGTGAAGAACCTCCACTTGTTGACGTGGCAAGACTCAAAACGAGAAGAAACAGCTGAAAACATCTATTAATTACTAGAATATGGATTTTGAAATATGAACCTAAGGAAATTGGAATTTGTCAAAATGAGGTACAACACATAAAGTTTGGTGTAATAAGCATTAATGAGCTGAGCTGAATGGATAATGGCCATTTTGAATCTGAAAATCATATGAGCTACTATTCTACGATAGTGGAAATAGCATATTAAAATTGGTATGACATTTATTGTCAAAAAGAGCATTTCAAGATCCCTCCTGAAGTCCAGTGCTATGAGTGATAGGCTATCATCTGTACAAGAATGTCACATTAATACAGATTTTGTTTAAATTATGCCTTTGTAACTATAAAAAGCTCACTTTTTTCTCTATTAAAAAGTGGGAATAATGACAATAGCCTTCTTATTTTTTTTTTTTTTTGCTAGTGACTATGAACTTCACCCAGGGTATTATTACAATAAATACTCGAGTATTTGTTGGTACTAGATTGTACATTTCATCATCTTAGATACTAATGTAAATGAAAAAAAAAAGCTCTTCTGCTCCTCTGGACCTTACATTCGGTAACTAAATAGGCATAAAGGACTTTAAATGGCAAATTATGTTATGAAATATGCTATTAAGTGGCAGAGGAAAAACAGTAATTGAAAGTTTTGGAAAAATATGTTAAGATTTTAAGAAAAAACATCAGGAAACTCTTCATCAAAAGGTGCTTTTCTTGGAAATTTTATTTTTTATTGTGACTCGACTAAAAGTAATCAGGCATTCATGCATATTTTGTTCCATGATATTAATTACCGTGCCCACAATATCTGATTGTCCATTTATTTCACACTGTTTTTGAAAAGATGACTTTTTCAATAATAAATAAAGGAAAAGAGAACAAGCAATAAACCTCTCTTGTCAAGGTGCATCTGGAAGAATAAATAGGAGACAGAAACATCATATGTATTCCTTCTTTGTAAATCACTAGAGATGTCTTGTGTTCATGCTTGCAGAGTTTTGTGCTCAAGGAACAATTTCCTTACACTTAACAAAGCTTTTAGACATGCCTGCCACTGATGTCCAGCTCTGTCAACAGGTAAACCTCTAGGTGAAATTCAATCACATTTAGTTCAGTTTTAACTTCTGCAAAATAAAAAAAATAAATAAAAATTAGATTTTACAAAGCTGCTCCAATTATACTATTGTTGTTATGTGCTGCCATATTGCTTGTAACTCATAGTGATCCTATGTACAACAACCCTAAACGGTTCTCTGTCCTGTGCCAATCTCATTGTCTCTGGCACACCTACCCCCATTACCCCAGTCACTGAGTCAATCCATCTCATCGAGGGTCTTCCTCTCCTGTGCTGTCCCTCCACCCTCCAAAGCATGATGTCCTCTCCAAGGACCTGTCCCTCCTTCCAACATGGCCAAAGTATGTCAGACAAAGCTTTAGAATCTTTGCCTCCAAGGAACAGCCTGGTTTAACCCTCTCCAGGATGACTCTGCTTGTTCTCTTAGTAGTCCAAGGTATATTCAATACTCTTCTCCAACACCACAACTCAAAGGCATCAATTCTCCTTCTATCCTCCCTAGTCATTGTCCAACTCTCTGATGCATAACAAGTGATAGCAAAGACCATGGCCTGTACA